AGAATATGAACATGATTTTGAATTCCGTAATTAATTGACATTCCGCTTACTCACTAAAGTTAGGCAGTACCGCATGTCGAACAGTTGTATAAGTATTCTTCCCAACAATATATATAGCCCGATCAGTACAGCACAGCCCGAGCCATGTAGGTAACAGATCTATCACGATCATTTTAGCTTCATTTTCCTATTTTTTTTTTTTTTTTTTTTTTTTTTTTTTTTTTTTTTTTTTTTTTTTTTTTTTTTTTTTTTTTTTTTTAAATTCGGCTGATGATGGGAGCTGTCAGCCCCGAGACGTTCCGAAATATGTTTAAGACTTGTTTTTAGCCGTGAGCCTGCACCTATTTTGTGTTTCTTATATATAATATTCGGGCTACGAAATTATATATATATGTATAGGTTAAGTATATATATATATGTTGATAGGTTAAGCATTGGCGAGATAGATAGGAGGTAGTTTTTTAGATTTTTAGCTTTATTTTTTTGTTTTAGCCGCTGAGGAAGGGGTTGGTGTTCCGCCCAGAAACGTCCGGTATTTAATATATGTTTCAGCTTTTATCCCAAATTTTATTGTGTCATATTTTTTATCATGTCGGGCTGCGCATGTATATATATATATGCGCGCATATTCATAATCTACGACCCATGATCGATGCTCATTACATGGTCTACAGTCCAGATCGGAATTCAGGGGAGAATGCAATAGTGTATTTCCTTCGGAAAATACACTAATTTTAGGTTAGGTACTCTCGACAGTCCTACGGGCATAAACTGTAAAAAAATGAGATTCGCAATGAGTGAAAGCCTCCGAATGAGTATATTCAAGGGATATGACTCAGAATGGCTCTGACAGTGATTCTGAAGTTTTAAATACATTTTTTTTCTTAAAGTAGGAATATTTCACTAATTGTGAGACTTTCTGGCCAAACGGAAATTTCCCGTGAAACTTTCTGGTGAAAGGATGAGGTCCAACCTTATGGGAAAAGTGGGCCCGGTTACATCGTCTGATTTTTTGTTGTATGCTCTAGGTCTTAACCTACTGATTAAAAGTATCAGGCGTTTCTTCCTATCTCGAAGTTTTAGCCCCAATTTTGGGGGTCAAAGTTGCCAATTCAGCGTAGTATTGGTAGTTTTGACACCAGGGTTCATTGGTCGACTTTAAGATTCTTGAATGGTTTGTTGAGCCTCTTCTATCCTCTGAATAGGCTAGAGACCATCCGAACTAAAGAGCTGAACAATTTTGCCTCATGCATGGGGAAGGGTGGGGGGTGTTTACGCCACCGATTTTAGCGTCAGCGAGTCACATTAAACCGATTCTTCCAGCATGTTTTGCAGAATTTTTTATGCAAATGACTCCGACTGCATCTTTAAAGGTCAACTGAGATGCAGCTCAGAAAATACCCCTGGCGGAGGAGGGAGAGAGGGGCGGCGAAACGCGCGATTTGGAGACTTTTTTATGCCAATGAGGACGGCTGCATCTCGGAGGGTGAACCGAAATGCAGTTAAAGATTGAGATAGAGGAAGGAAGTATTGTTAATCGCCTCTCCCGCGAATTTATAACGCCTTACCGTAAAGTTGTATAGTCAATCTGAAGTGAATTTCCATAACCTCATGCCAATAAAGAAAGGTCAGCAGACTTTTTTTGGGACATCCTACTGCTCGTGCAACGTTCGGGTCCTCCGCAGCCAGAATTTCCCAGAGTAAACTATTTACGCTCCCATCCCTGTACATCTACGAAACTTCAAAGTACGCTATATTAACAAAGTAATTGATCTTGATGAGTTATTCGCCACACATAGCCATAACACAAGGCATGATTTCATAACTCCAGAGAAGTTCACCTACTCTATTTCAAAAACAAGCATAAGGGCAGCATCAATTCAGCTACTTAATACCCTTCCCTCTGAGATGAAAAAAATACTTAAGAGGGGCAAAATAAAAGTCTTCTTTCTCAAACTTAGGGCTTTTGTCTTAGAGGGTGCATTCTACCATGTTGACGACCTCTCAAATCTCTAACCTTAATCCATCGCTTCTGTCATTTTCTTATTTTGCTCTTACATTGCCTAATTTAAAGCATTCCTTAAAAGTATTTTTGTTAAATTTTTATTGATTGTTAGAAACAATTGTTAGCTTGTAATACTATCATCTTATAATCTGACTTGTACGATCCCTTAAAGGGAATATATGTACCAACTGAAAAATTAATAAATAAATGATAAAATTTTGTATTTTCTTGAAGTTTTGCAAAAGTATCAAATTTACAATTTATATATTTCTGGTAATATAGCAATGGTCTTAAATGAACTTGGCGTATCAAAATCGTGGGGATGCATCAGTTTCAAGACGTAAAGTTGAGACCATACGGCACTAGCCCGTTTCTTCGGTGAAAAAACGTGATTTTTTCGTAAAATTCGAAACTATAGCTTCGAAAATAGCATTGTGCAAGAGAGACGAAACAGGACTGTAGAACAAATATGTAAAATTGGGGTAAGATAAAGTAATGAATACAAAGGAGTGGAAGGATAAGAAAAGAAACATATAATGGATCAAACAAACAATAACCAAAAAAAGAACAAAATTACAAGCGTTAAATGCGATGGTGATGGAATGGATGACTTCTTACATAAATTTGAAGGAAGAACAGCAGTAAAAAAAGTGACACACACATGATTTGGACATGAGAGGACCTCCTCACAATATGTAGGATTTAAGAAAAAAGAAGGGCTGAAAATGCTGTTAACCATCAACAATACAATGACAGCACATGTTACCATGATCAAACTCGATTGCTATAAGAGGATAAGGCCTCGATAGACGACCAAATTCCCGAACCAATTCCGATCAAAGTAGCATCAAAGTGTCGGGAGTCATCAGTCCTAAACTCATTAATTTGCTTCATTATAAAATGAAAACTTGGCAGAAATGTTTCCTGTGGCAGGAAATGATGAATGATGGTACTCCGGTCTGATCTTACTTTGAACAAAAAAGTGCGGCCCGTCAAAATTTGATGGTAGATGGTGACCACCAGTCATCAGCATGTCTACCTTGATCGGAATTGGTTCGGAATTTGATCGTCTATGCAGGGCTATAGAGATTACACCTTTGCACAAATTTCCGGAAAATGAATCACAGATCCTATGATGTTAAATCGACAATCATTACGCTCCAAGATAAAGATTACCGAATTGAAAATTTGAGCTTGAAAATGAAATTCTCAACAGTTGCACGGAAACCATAAAGTTGCGGCCATAATTACTTTTGTTTAGAGGGAGGGAGAACTAGCCAAGTAGTTGAGGTGTGCCTCAGGTGTATCACCCATTAATTATAAAACATACAAAGAGAATTCAAGAGCCAAAATATCGCATTTTGATTTAAAAAGTTGGGATTCATTCATACTTCACTGTAAAAATACATGAATGAAAATAATTCTACTCATCATAAATATCATGAATCTTTCCATTACTTTCTAAATAAAGTTACTTTTTCACTTGACCTTACATGAGAGGAAAAACAATGAGAAGAAATGATTTAATGTGCAACTTTCAGCTTGAAGTGTTCAAAACTCAATGGCTCCCATGGTATCCATAGATAAGAATAAGAAAACAGCAAAAACCAAGGGGAAAAAAACAAAGGCATCAATACTCATGTAAACTTCTGTGCTTACAAGTTTGAAAACCGCAGGAGGAAAAATTACAAGAAAAATTAATACTCTATTAGTATCATTAGTAATAATAATTAACTATTAAACTACATATTAAAAACTGATCATGAAAGAGGAATAAATTATAACTGCAATTTCGTTACATCTCCCAGAAATTTCTTTCAAAATGGAAATGACTCTTCTCATGGCTAGTCATCGGTGGAGGCTGCTGCAGTTTCTAAAATAACCTCAAAGGAGAAGGGAGTAAAGGCATATCCTTGACCCATATAGAATTTGCTCTGGAATTCCACCCTGAAATAATTAACAAATACATGATTACTGATTCATTGACTTTTAACTGAACCTCTTACTTCTTATGTTGTGCTGTTTTCACCTTTCAATTAAGAAATTTTCTCCGTCTCATCATACGGAAATGCATGTGGTATTTAGAAAAATTAAAACTTTTTAAAAGACTAGGTGCGGAGAATGCACCAAGTGGACTAAAGTTTGCAGAGCAGTTGTTGAAAAATTACCATTTCTTTAAAATTAACCTATTTTTTTAAAAAAATAAAATTGTTTTATTCCACGAAAATCTCAAGCAATGCAATTTTCCTCTGAGATTTGATGATTAACAAGTAGCAAAAGCTACCTGCTGAGGGGGCGCCGCCCCCCCAGACCCCCCCTTTCAAATTATATATGTGAGACTTCGAGTATCATAGAAGTCGTGCGGCGACATGCCGAATGAAATGCCACAATTAAAATTATTGGATCAGATGATGAGCTGATAAAAGCCTTACCTAGTAATTTGGGAACATTTCTGACACAGTTTGGTTGCTTAAACTATCACTTTGATTTGCGAAATACAAATCGTTTTCACTTCGTATGTAGTTAAATTTGATTTTGACTGACTTNAGATGATTTCAGAGAAAACCAGTGGCACCATTGTGTTCCTCGCGAACTTTTATACAAGAATCAACAGTCAAATTGCAAATTCCTCGCACATGTAACATCTCCATTGGGCCAAAATGCACCGATATCAATACCTCATATGTTACTTGGTTCCTCGAAAATTCTCCTCTTGGACTTAGCCTAAAAGTGTGGACACTTTTTAGCCTCCGGCGAAACCTAGAGTCTATACGGCTTCGCCGCACGACTAAAAAGGGAAAAATGTGTGCTATGGAGCCTGAGCCCTGTGGCTGGACTCCCCTCCTGTGGGGTCCTACATAACAGTGCTTTCATGAGCTTTTAGAATTTAAAGTAGAACATCATTAGTGACAGTCAAAAGTTGGAATGCCGAAAGTGTTTTTAAGATTTCGAGTACCAGCCGCTGGTGTGGAAGAAGAAAAATTTCATCACTTTGAATGTTGAAAGAAGGTCAATGGGATGAGTTAGGACAACCAGCGACAGGTGCATGAAAATGTGGAAGCTTGGAAGATTCTGCACCCTTGTATGGGCGAATAGTCTGCATTATACGGTGTGCATGGTTCTTTGTGATAGGCATGAAAGGAATACTGATTAAAACACAGAGATCAATGCCAGGCCAAGTATGGTGGCATGCAAGCGGTCAAGCATAATCCTTTTCAGCGTTTGTACAGTCGCTTACTAAGTTCATGCTCCACTGCAAGAAAATGAAAAAATCCACTTTCTTCACTAATAAGGTAACAAGCATTTGATTACTTGAAACTCTTTGATGTATCAAACAGGAACTCGGATGCTTAACAGAATACAGCTAAGAAGTTAGCTTACTTAGCTAGATGATTGAAATGCTTTAATAATATCTCACCAATGCAGACGCAGTGTGTGTAAAAATGCTGAGAGACCCTCCATAAGAACTAAGATTGCAACAGTAAGGACCGCCCACAAAGCAAAAATCATCCACAAAACTATGCCGCCATACCAAGACTCATAAATGAGTCCGTTTCTTAGGACCATATGCCATAACACTTCTGACAACTCTGAAAAATGAGACACTGAATAAATGAAAGAAAGAAAAATTGAAATCATTGCATCTTGGTTAAGGGCGGATGCAAATAATTGGCATCTTCACATTCATAAATTTTTTATTAAACATTTATTGTGACCTTTGCCAATACAAGAATTTTACACATTGACATTCATAAATGTTGAAAAATTCTCCCTTATAAGTTGAATGAGTTCATTACTTTATCCGGTGTCCATGCTTATGTGTGCACTTACTTTTTAATTGTTCAGTTCCATGGTCCCCCAGGGCTTCCATGATACATTTTTCTTAAATACGTTATTAAGGAATTTTTCTACCTTATATGTTGGTGCTTGGCATGTTGTTACAACTGGGCGAATAGGAACGTCTTTGATGTTTACTTCTTCGTTGACTTTGTGTGTTTTAATGTAGCCGTGGAAAATGGGTGGTCCTGTGTTCATTTGCACTATACTTGTGGGGTTTCCTGTCAGGGTTGATTTACATAGGATTTCTTACTGTTTGTTTCCTTGATGTGATCCTTCCTTATTTCTCTCATGTTGTCTGTTTTTAGGAAATCTTCTCTCTTGTTGTAGCACTCTTTCTCTATTACCACTAGTGTATTGCTTTTATCTGCTTTAGTTATAATGAGGTTGTTATCTCTTGCCTTATTTTTAATACCTTTGAGCATGGTTGTGTCTTCTTGGGTTTTTTTTGCTTTTGTTCTTCTCATGGTAGTGATCCTCGATTTCTTGGCAAACAATTTGGATTGTGGCAGGACTTCTCACCTTAGCATTGACCTCAATGATTGGGTCTGTTACTTCATGTATTGTTGACGTAGTCCAGTCAATCTACGATTTTACCTTGCAGCTTTTGCAAAAAACTTTCTGGCATACAATGCTTATGGGTTTATAGTGCTGAATCCGAATCTGAACTTTGCTACCTTCGATATTTGCCGCCATCTTGAAAAAACGTTGCCAAATCTCATTTTTTGCCCAAAAATCGTTAAAAACTCGTTCCCTGTGCGTCGGACGCCAACATGAGTTTTTTGCAAAAAGAAAGTGCGTAACATTTTGGTCCAGAGCAGGTATCAAAGTTTTGATAACAGGCGCAAACCATCTGCCGGAGCGCGCTGAAAATAGCGGGAAATTTGAAAAAATCGCAATTTTTTGCGGTTTTCTCAAATATCTTTATTCTTAGCGGTTTTTCGGTAATAACAAATGGTTAACACAGAAATTGAGGTAGACAAAAAATGCTACTAGAATCACTCTAAGTTTTTGTACTAGCGATAGTTTTAACAGGAACTAGGAGCGCTTGAAGTCGGAGACTCGCACGGCCGAAATCGGCTGCAACGCTGCACCGCAGTTCTACCTTATGAGGGCCGTTACATGGTTTCCATAACGTTGAATTTTGCTTCAAGACATTCAATCTATTTTATAATTAATAAATTTACAGATTTCACCTTTTTGGCATCCCTCCCCCCAACGGCCACTCCTCCCCAATCAGATATCGGCGTAACATCATTCTCACTGCATTTTTATCCAGAAAAACGATATTTTGTAGTTTTAGTAGTTTTAAAATAACAGAATATCACCTCTGACCACTTCTCTTCCTCCTATATTTCCTACATACCTCACACTATTATAATGAGGCAGTTTCTGTTCGCTAAATCTTTAGAAACCTGGAGGAAAAAAAGAGGGAAAAGTCACCTAAATGATAATTTGAGGTGACCAAAAATTATGCCTACTCAGACCTTATGGTTAGAAATGTTGTCTTACTTGTCATAGCATTGTCAATACTTGCAGCAAAAACGACGTTTTGTTACGCGCGCGCATGAAGGCATTATTACGTTAAACTGTTTACTCTTTCATTCTTCTCGTAGTTAAAGCTAAATAAAATTATGAACAACTTGCTTTGGCTTGAACACACTACAAACTAGAGCGTAACTTCGTCTAAATAATTATTTACAAATGTAAATCCAACTAACATACTTTCAACTTCTATGAAGGTCTGGCAAAGGTTAGACTGATTTAGCTGATGCATTGCCACTTGGAACGCGTTGTCGGACCACACTCGGGGTTTGACGTCATTGGTTGCATTGACACATCATCACACGAGGTTGCTGAAACTTGGGGTGAAAGAGTTGGTGGGGTCGTAGGAATCTCACGGTAAAAGAATTTGCAGCAGTATCCACGACCCGAGAATTTAGGCGGCTGAGGCCGAGATTTACAGTCCCGACTGACAAAATTCTGATGAATCCTCGGTAGAATATTCCGAACTTTCGGCAATTCTGCCGAAGTGCTGGAGCCGGGACCGCAAACCTTGGCCCCAGCTGCTAAAATTCTCGGGGTACGGTTAATGCAGCAAATTTTTTACCATGGGGAACTGGAGTTGGCTGGGGGCTAAGTCGGTCTCTGAAAGAGGGTCGTCATCGTCATACGAGTCTTCAAAGTCAATGATCCCTGTCTCGTCGATGTTCTCCTTTTAACAAAGATTACTCTAGTTTTTGGCATACTTTCTGAACTGTTATTCGTTCAACTAAAATATCTGACCCTGCTTCACAAATATATCGACCTGCAATCTCCTTGGAACTTTGGAAAATCCAGAAATATCTTCCAAAACTGTGTTAGTTATGTGTATGACCCTATCACTTAAGTATCTAAAGGTGTTTGCTTTTCAGTTGAAATCGCCGTGTTTTCGGTGTTGGGGTTGAAATTGCACACGATTTTTAGAGTGTTCGTGTTAGTCAAAATATAGTTATAAGTGTTCTTCTAATGATACATTTTCTACGGTCATACATAGGTTCTTGCACTTGCAACCATTTGGTATTCAAATAATCTTCACATTGGACGGGCATTATGCTGCTAGAACATCTGATACCAAGCACTTATTCTAAGATTTTCCTCCTTTCTTGAGTGTTAAAGTCAGTAATCTGTATACTTGCTCATTACTTTTACTTGTATATTCACATATTCTTTCCTATGCTGTTGTGAATACTTCCTCATGACCAACTCCCTTTGAAGTCTGATAGTGTAGTAAATTATGCTTCAGTCATTGAAGCATTTATTTACTAAAAAATCGGTTCAAAGGAATTTTCTTCAACATGGATCTACACTCTACCCTGAAACTGTGTGTGCTGGCACCAGCAGACCCTTTGGCAAAAGCCGTTAAATCCTGAAATAGAAAGGTAAATACCTAATACCAATAATGGTTACCAATAATGGTAATAATGGTTAGGTTACCAATAATGTTCAAACTAGAACGGAAGTAAATTTGCTCCAACAAGTAGACCGTGGGCCAGCACGGGGTAACCCCCCCCCCCCNCCCCCCCCCCCGTGGGAGTTTTGAAGGTGGTGATTTCCTTGAAGCTCTCGACTAGTAGAATAAGATTTTTTCTTGTTTACGCGAATCCTATCGTGGTGGGGGGGGGAGTAAGCCCCCCCTAAACCCCCAAAATTGCTCAGAATTCCGACTTTTCCGCCATTTTTCCCATTTTTCTCGAAAAGGGCAAAACTCCACATAACCATTCTGAAAGCTCGTGAAATTTTGGTCTGGAAAAGTTTCAAGGTTTCTTACGGTGGTTTTTAACGATTGAGATGAATTTAAACTTATGGCTCGTCTAATTATAGATGGCAGAGGATGTGTTGCACTCGCTGAAAGCATGAAGAAACAGTATGCTGTCAGCAGCCGCTTCAACTGTGTTCCCAGTTCTGTTGTAAAACGTTGGCGCGGCTCTTTTTCTGCCCGATTTCAATGAGAAAATGTTACTTAGATCTTTCGAGCTCGCCGTCGAAAAACCAGCAGGTCGGCGTCCTCACCCACGATGAAAATGGTGGTAAATTTGGAGGTTATTTCAACTGCTGTTGACACGATAAGTTTAGCAGTGTCTTCTGTTGTCAAGTCATCAAATATTCAACAAAAGAACAGACTGCTCAACGCATGCGTTTACTGTGCCAAATCCTCATCCTCCTCCTTATGTTATGTGAGGAAGAGAGGAGGTCAAAAGTGATACTCTGTTGTTTTAAAACTACTAAAACTGCAGAATAGCGTTTTTCTGGATAAAAATGCAGTGAAAATGATGTTATGCCGTGGCCGTTGGGGGGAGGGATGCCAAAAAGGTGAAATCTGTAAATTTATTAATTATAAAATAAATTGAATGTCTAAAAGCAAAATTAAACGTTATGGAAACCATGTAACGGCCCTCATAAGGTAGAACTGCGGTGCAGCGTTGCAGCCGATTTCGGCCGTGCGAGTCTCCGACTTCAAGTGCTCCTAGTTCCTGTTAAAACTATCGCTAGTACAAAAACTTAGAGTGATTCTAGTAGCATTTTTTGTCTACCTCAATTTCTGTGGTAACCATTTGTCCCGAAAAACCGCTAAGAATAAAGATATTTGAGAAAACCGCAAAAAATTGCGATTTTTTCAAATTTCCCGCTATTTTCAGCGCGCTCCGGCAGATAGTTTGCGCCTGTTACCAAAATTTTGATACCTGCTCTGGACCAAAATGTTACGCACTTTCTTTTTGCAAAAAACTCATGTTGGCGTCCGACGCACAGGGAACGAGTTTTTAACGATTTTTGGGCAAAAAATGAGATTCGGCAACGTTTTTTCAAGATGGCGGCAAATATCGAAGGTAGCAAAGTTCAGATTAGGATTCAGCGCTAAAAAACACATAAGAAATTTATGCCAGAAAGTTTTTTGCGAAATTTGCAAGGTAGGGCCCTTTTTTGGCCTAGATTGACTGGACTAACACTGGTTTTGGGCAGTACTTCATACCTTGGTCGAGTAGGTCAAGTTCACCTATTGTAAATATTGTGTCTGACAGGTTAATCGTTGTGGGGGCAAAACTAATGACACTGTTTGGCATCTTGTTCATCCTTAGTTGGTAAAGTTTGAAGTGGTGTTTCTGTCTTTGTTTGAAACAATTCATGCTAGCCCTTAATCTCACCACGTCATCCATGATCTCAAATTCTATTGGGTGACGTTCATGTGATAGTTCTCGGTGAAGGAACATGATTCGTTTAAAGATGCGAGTCCTCTCACTGTCTTTTTGTTGGATTACAGCTGGTTTAATAAATTTGGCTCTAAAGCTGGGGTCACATTTCACTTTGGTTAGGTTATCAACAGCGTACCTAGGTGCCAATCCCTCCTTCCAACATTGTTTATTGAAGAATATATGTGCTGAGCATATTCTTGCTTTTGTTTGCAATGTTCCGTAAACTTTTATTCTCTTTATGGTTGTGGCATTTTTCATGCTTTGAATCCATTGTTCCAAGTTGAATGAGTTTATTACTTTATCAGGTGTCCATGCTTATTTGTGCACTTACTTTTTAATTGTTCCAACCCCCGGGTTTTCTCCCTTTTTTGGATGATTCTGCTTATTATCTCCAATACTATTTCAGTGCATGGGATGGCCATCCAATTTTTGTCTGTGTTGGTAGTTCCGGTACCTTTGAAAATAAACGTATTAACATTCTTATCTCTTTTCCGTTTTTTTAATCTGTAGACCATTTTTTGGTTGTACCCATTATTTATGGTTACTTTTTTGTTTGGTTTTTAATTCTTTCATGTAAATAGTTTTGTTCATGGGGATGTTGAGGAGTCGGTCGATCTTCTTGTGGAAGGCTGACAGCATGTGTTTCCAACTGTGATATGACTTAAAAGGGATTACCACCTCTGCGCTATTTCCTTTTCTAAAAATACTGAATCTAGTCTGTTTCTTTTTATATGGATGGATAGGTCCAGGAAGTTGAGATTTTTGTTGCCCATCTCTAGTTTAAACTTAATGTTTAGGTCTAATTGGTTTATTTCCGACAATAATTCCTACAACCAAAAAATGGTCCACCAATTAATGAAACGGAAAAGGGGTGAGAATGTTAACGCACTTATTTTCAAAGGTACCGGAACTACCAACACAGACAAAAATTGGATGGCCATCCCATACACTGAAATAATATCGGAGGAATTAAGCAGAATCATCCAAAAACGGGAGAAAACCCATGTCACTTCAGTAATCAGAAGAACTTAGGGAGACGATTAATAAATACAAAAACTAAAAACAAGGACGATTCTAAAGATGGTGGTATACATAGAATTGAATGCAAATGTGGGAACGATTATGTTGATCTAACTGGAGGAGCGGTGGGGATAAGAGTCAAGGTACATAATGCCAATTTGAAACGAGGAACGAAGGGCACATTTTCACTTAATGATCAACCAATTGATATTAAACATCAAGTGGACAAATGTAAAAGTAATATTCTAAGAGAATGTAAAAAAGGCAGAATAATGAACATCCTAGAACAGCTGGAAATCGAAAAAAGAAAAGAAACTTGTAAATTATTAAACGCCCAGGTAGAAAGTCAAGTGACACACCTGTTCTTCCCCCTCCTTGCTGGAACTCACAAAGTTGGAAATCACGAGTATGCATGGATAAACAAATACACTTGAGACAATTGCCAGTTGATAACCGAAAAAAATCATGAAAATTGACCTGGTAGAACATCGGAACTAAGCGTTACCAGTTATGCTATCGTAGGAGGTCTCGGAGCTTATAGTATAAATATTTCCTAGGTTTCGCAAGGCTTTACACATTTTAAAGCGTTCTGGTACCGTTGGATGCTTCTTATTTTCACCGACATGCATGATTTCTAAACTATCCTGGACACTACCAATATTATGCTTATTGTCCTTCAAGTGTCAAAACTCTTGTGATTGATGATTTCTTTTATGATTAGCAAATATTTTATTAAAATTTCGTTTTGTTTAGTCGATGTACAAAACATTACAATCATTACAGTTAATTTTGTACACACCAGATGCATACAATTGATCCTGTTGTAGCTTATTTTTATGCAAGTGGCAAAATCCGTGATGCAAATTGAATCAGCATATGCAAAAACGTCCGATGTCCAATACAGAGTTTCAGAATTTGAGTGGACCATTTTCACGACACAAAATGGTTTAAAACGTTACGAGTATAGAACAATTTTATAAATAATCCCCTAAGTATAATTCAACGTTTACAAAGAGATCAATCTTATTCATCCGTGTCACAGGGCGAAAGAAACCCACCGCAATTATGAAACCCTGTACAGGACAACGGACGTTTTTGCATACGTCGATTCAATTATGATCCTTAAAACACTGATAAGCAATATTAAACTGTAAAAAAGTGAAAATCGAAAGAAACCTGAGTTCGTGCACTTCCCTTTTCACTGATTTAAAAATGGGTATCTTATGAGAATGTAAATCAACAAATCATGCCTGAACCTGATATTTTTTCATTATTCGAATTTAATTTCTTTAAAATAGCTTATTTTACACACCCTTTGGTATTTGCTACAGTCAGGCGTATCCACACAAAAGGAATCTGCATATCTACACCTAAGACCTTTTTTAGATAAGCTTCTTCAGCAAAAATGGGCCTACTTGTCCCGTTTGACTTGATTTGGCAGACTCTAGTCACAATGTTAATCCTATCACGTTTGACCAGCCATACCTGATAAAGATCGTAGGAAAGAGAGGAAGGATAGAAACTTACGAGCATGAGCAAGAGACAACGCCCAAAGACGTAAATAAGAAGCTGTGTGGCTCACAGACCCTAGCACATACTCAATTGTATGGATACCTTGATGAATAAAAATTTCACCGATGTCATGTTCCTCATGTTTTGAAGCAACTGGTGTTACAGCTACCTGGGGATTCACTCCAGCATCACCATTTTCTCCCGCAGCATTGGCATGATTGTTAGCCAACTGCAAAAGAAATGTGAAAATAAAAAAGTTGATACTACAAGAGTATTTGCTGATACAAATACATACCCAACAAAAACGCTAATGCTTAGATTAAGAGATTGAAAGGTTCAAAACTTCTATTCCCTCTTCATGAACTAAGACATTATAGTAAACAGTTGATTGCACTATAAAAAAATACAATATGAATTCATAGTTGCATCGATTTATGCACTGATCAACAATTGATATGATTCTTTGATAGAATAGAATCTCTCTCAATGCTATTCAAGGCAACAAGCTTTTTAAGGCTTACATGAGGGGTTCACGAATTTAGCTAATGAGGGGCTTTGGGGAGTGGGCCAGTGATTGATGAAAATTGGGAAGGGGGAGGGAGGCTGGTAAGTTTCAAGTGAAAAAGCACCAGGTTATCATGTAATTAAAACACCAAATTATGATGTCATTAGATCACAGATTGATGACATCACTGTGTCATGATGATGATTTAGTTTGAACTAAAATGATGAGAATTTCCTCCATCAATTTGAGCAAAGAGCAGTATCACATTTATGCATAGGTGGGATCTCTCCATCACAGTTTCTCACATATACGCCGATGCCGGACGCCCCAAAATAAAGGGACCGGTCTCCCATTCTCTTCAGGTGGGACGTCAAATGCATTAGGGTAAACTGCCTTGACCCTCTGGGTGCAGCTTCTTCTCAAGCACTGTGTCATTACTCCCATTCATCATAATCCATCAGGGTTAAGTTCCATACCTATCGAGATAGCTCTCTCCCTACTCCTCAAAGAAGACTACCCTATCTGTTGCGACTGAGCGGACTGACCTCAGCAGAGCCTATTACAATAATTGAATCAGTACTTGTAAAAAGAGCGCAAGTCCATTCTTTAACGTAGCTTTTTCTTGGCATTTTTATGCTCTCTGGCTGTCCTAACCACATTGCCTGAGAAAGCAGTGGCAGTCCGCCACTTAAAATGCAAGTGACAGATGCACAGAAACGCGTATGTCCTGTAAAAAGAGCGTCAAAAGTGGGGGAAAAAAGATTTTGAAAAATTGAACTGCCGCCTATTTTAGAAATAGTGATTCAATTTTGGTGGATCCTTTTTACTGGAGAGTGCTTCCCTACCTTATGGGAATGGATCTTATCTCTTGCAAGAAGATGGTGCTTCTCCAACTACTCACTCTTTAATAGCAGATTGATTTCTGAACATTTCACTTGTTCACTCTTGATAATATAAAAAACTTACCAATTGATGCTCTTGCTTTTGTTCTTTCATTATAGAGATGGGTTTACCTAACAACATCCATGGTATACAGGCTACTGCAACTAAGACCAAAAGTCGCTGGATGCCATTCTGAAAACAATTTTCACATGACATAGAGTGAGAAAATGTTTTCAACTAAAGAAAACTTCATCCTTAACTCCAAGTACTTAAGCTCTTGAGAATATAGCCAATGCAGAGTTTTTCTCTTCATGAATTAGAATTGTTTTTTGATTTCACATAAAGCGTCTGACTTTAGAAAAAGAATTTGTTTCCATAATCATTCACCTGATCGGAAGCTGTTAATTACAGTGCAGTAGCGAGGCGTTACTGATCGATTGTCTACAATTTCCCATTTACAGCTGTGGTAAAGAATTGATTATTAAGGTGCTTTTTACGAGCACCCTGTTTATTGATCTTTTTCCAAAGGTTTAAATAACAGATCAATCGATAACTCGCAAAGCAGATGTGGATTGTGGATGTAAACACACTAATAAATGGATAATTTAGATTATTGAAAATAAAGAGAATGAGAAACAGAAGACAGGAAATTATAATTTAATGAATATTGTACCTGTCCAAAGTACATAAATGGAGACACACAATTGAGGAGTGGTTCAGAGTCCTTAAACAGTATCATGTTAATGAACATTATTAAAATTGGAGGAGCACATGCTGGACTGGAGGGAAAATTGGCTGCATCATCATCTAAAGAGAGAGAGAAAAAGATTATTAATTTTGCCTTATTTCAGTCTCGGAACCTAATATAAGCAAAATTGCCATAAACCGTTTCCCCCGATTTCAAAGGTAACAGCAACTCAAAACCGATTTTGAAATCATGTTCACACTAATGGTGTATAGATCTGAAGACAACATACTTTAGTCAGGCCACGTTGAGTTTGTCCTGAACTTTGAAAGGAAGATAAAGACTTGAAATTCGTGTATTCTTTTTTTCTGTGCCTGTAGATCTCTTCATATTGGGGAATAAAGTAGTCTTTCCATACTCTAGACAAAAATTGGAGAATTCTTCGCCAAAGAAGCCGCAGTATTTACCAAATTTAAGTTTGAGAAATAATGTCAGTTGTGTGTACGGCTCGTGTAAGTGCGTGAGATTAGCTTCCAATTATTTTCTTACAGAAGCAAACAGGAAAAACTGAAACTGTCATCCTACATGATGTAAAAGTAACCGACAGAGCACGCATATTCTTTGGTAGAGTTCCTACTTAGGGCTCTTTTCCAGCAGCATTTTGGTTCCATTTCGGGTTCGGTCTTGAGAAAGCTTCTCAGAAGGATTCAACTGCTTTAAAATGTCTGACATGCATTTCAACATACATTCAAACAACATGACACTACATCATTCTACTACTTTATCATTCAAATCAAATGAATACAGGAAGGATACAAAGGTGGGCCAAAAACGGCATGGACCAGGATTTCTGCGACTCCAGCTTTTTTTTCATAATGGAACGTTGTTATTAAAAAAAAAAAAAAAATACAAAATACAAATAGTAGTTTCAGAGGGTGATACAATCTCTTAAAGGAGATATATTGGACAGGTCTGAGTGTTGTAAACAGCTATTTATCAGGGGTTTTTTTTTTGGTTTGATGTTTCTCGACTAGAGAAACATAAATTCATTAATTCAAAAAATAAATTCATCCAAAGAGTTTGTACAAATTTTTTTCAGCCCGATCGGAGGCGGCAGCTTGGGAAGTTCCCCTTGTTAGTTAGAAAATACCATCAATAATTCCCGTTGTGCAAATTGTGTTCTACATACAACTTTGATGATAGTAAAGGACCCCCCACACTCCTTATGGGAATGTGTACGATGATCGATTTTTAATTTTTCTAATGTTTTAAATTCGTCTATGGACGCTGACCATAAGTCAACATTGCGCCAACTATCTGCAAGCCATCGTTGTGACACAATACCCGATGAAGTTTCAGTAATATCTAGGACATAAGCCGGCTAGTATAAAAAAGCAGTGCATGTCTGTCTGGTAAAAGTAGTGGAATGGGAGAGAGAGAAAGAAACTGATTTAAATCATAAAAAGAAAAGACATGTGGAATCCGAGATAAGACTGTTGCTCTGAAAATGGTCGGATTTCTTGTTTACGCCATTTACTTTCACCCAACTGACCTGAACCGTGCTCGAGTACTGTACTACGTTCATTTAAGCAAGGAAGTATTGATAGTCAGGGGGCATACGTAATCCCGTATGCAGATTCGTGAAGGCATATTGTGTGATACATCAATCTCTTCGTTTTGATGTCTAGAAAAAGAAAATCGATGATGGCCATCTCAAATTTCATACAAACCCCCCCAAATTCAAGATGGCGGCCAAAATGGCGGTTTTTGGGGTAAAAAAATTTAAAGTTTGCAAATACGTCGTGTCGGGTGTCGTTTCTTATGTATTTTTGATCGTAGAATCCGAATTTTCAGTCAAAAGTTAGCCCAAAGATCATTTTTAGGCCAAAATCCAAGATGGCGTCCAAAAATACCTCTTACGGGTACTAATTTGCCTACTCGGGTCTACATGCATTGTGAGGTATCAATTATTAGGTTTTCAGGGTCGTAGAGTCCGAAAATGAGGTCCATTTTCCGCTGCGGCTCTCAAGAAGCCCTAAAATCAAAGATGGCGCCCAAAATGGCCGCCGGTCTTGCGGATGAAACTGCCATTTAAGGCAGCTATAACAAACAATACGTTCAAAATTAAGTTTCTTGGGTCAAGAAGTTCGAATAGGAGATCAGATGTTTACTCCTACAAAAAATTAAGCCTCCGAATCGAAAATCGCTGCCGACATTGTTGCCAGTTAAAGGCGCAGACCGGTAAATGACTGATATTAAGAGATTTGCCGAAGGAGGGGTTTCGATAAGGGCCGTTGTTGGGCCCATACCCTGAAATTCTTCAATTTCACGATTGTTTGCTCATTTAAAGTCTAAAGTTTGCGGAATGTATCATGATTTGGTCATTTCCGGTCTATTTAGGGGTCTAATACCGGCCTAAACATGAGACTAAAGGCCGATTTTGGCGAAAAATGCGGGTTTTTTTACATTCGACGTGACGCTGTTTCTTAACGATCCCATCATCGGAGGAGATTGTTGTCCTTCAAGTACGTTCATTAAGGATGTAAGATAGTCACTTTGCCCAATTTTCGTTGATGGCAAACCTTGCGCTCAGAGTTAAAACGATCTTCTTAGAATTTTCTTTTTTTCATCATTATTTAAAATGGCATAAAAAGGGCGACTCATCTTAAACCAGAAATAGATTCCTTGGTGGAAAATGTACGCAGCTGGTCATAACTGTCCTCCAAAAAATTAATGGATTGAAGCCTCCCCCCCCCCCAAAAAAAAAGGAAAACCTGTGTTGCCATATTTTATTGCCTAACATCACAGAAAACCGCGTAATTATTTCAGTATTTGGAGGCTGTTCTTCGTAGAGCACATTTAGCAAAGCTGAAAACCCTTGATTTTTCATACGTTATACGATTAGTGATTATATAAATGCAATTATCCATCATTATTTGGACGGAGTTAAACAGAAAGGAACCAAGCCACATCGGGATCGAACCGAGAAAAAGAGGTTTAAAGTTTGGCTCCTGCATAAGACTCAATGTAAAAGATAAAATTCAAGTTCAATTTCTGCAAAATTTGCTCCAACAAAAACTTTGAATTTTTGGCGATAGATAGTAGAGCAGTGGTTGGGTTCAAAACCACTCATAACTCAATTTTTTTCGAAATGTGGGTTGGTTCCTTTCTGCTTAACTCAGTCCATTTTGTTTATTACATGTATGTATTTATAGAGACTCTTATCGTGGCGCGGCATTTCCACATATCATCGGTAAAAATCGAGAAAAATGCAACATTGAAACGAAAATGAGAATTCTACTATCATCGCGCTGAGAATGTTAGCCTTATCCAAAACTAAAAATTCATTGCAAGAAAAGGTGTAATATTAGTTAAAAGGCAAAACGACATAGAACATGGTCTTATCCGGGTGGTATTACCTGTGCAAAGTGGTCGATAGAGTCGTCAACTGCTGAGCTCAAATTGCACCTCTCATTTGGTGCCTCACTCATTACAGACATAAGTCTGAGCCAGAAAAACTAAGCGTTTGCTAGATTAACATGCATGCGTCATTTCTCTAAAATTATGAAATGGCAGCTCCAAACAGGAGGTTTGATGCAGGAGACAGGGAACCTGATGAAGAAGCAACTGATAAGGAAGCTGTTAGGTGGCTGGGCAGAAGTGAGGGAAACCAGGGTTTCAAATTATTTTTAGGAAGCAGAATTCTGATCGATCGCAGGCAATAAGAATGGCGAGGGGCAGGGATTGTCAGGGTGGTGAAAAATCAGCATTAAGCACTCGTGACTCTGACACATGGCTTACTTTTTTTTCGGATCTCAGATCACGGTCAATGATTCAAAGTTGCACCTTCGTTTGTAAATATCGTGTACAAAATTCGTAAGATAATGGGCCACCTACAAGCCGAAAATTTTAAAGCAATTATCACTAACACAAAATATAATCTACTTGCATCTCTGAATACTGTAATTCGAGTCTTACATATTTATTTCAGAATGCGCACATTCCGAGAAAGTGGCTGAAATTCTTAGCCAACTAGGATTTTTCTCGATTTTTACCGATGATATGTGCGAATGCCGCGCCATGATGGGAGTCCCTACAGATACTTAGGTACTTGTAATAAACAAAATAATGATGGATAATGGAGATTTCGCATGTGTGAGGAATTTGCGATTTGACTGTTGATTCTTACGTAAAAGTTCAGGAGAAACACGATGGTGCCACTGGTTTTCTCTGAAATCAACTCCCAAGCTCAAAAAAAGCTCTCACGTTGAGCCCGAAATGGAGGGGATATCCCACGCTATCCTGAGAGTCCACCTCTAAATCAAGACATACTCTCTATGCAAAGGTAAGGAGCAAGTACATTCACAGAGCTACCACTTTATTTGGGGACTCCACGACAGAAAACACGGCAACCCTGCTGATGTATTTGCTCCCTATCTTTGCATGGAGAGTTTGTCTTGATGTACAGGTGGACGCTTAGGATAGCGCGGGATATCCCCTCCATTTTGGTCTCAACTTAAAAGCTTTTTTTGAGCTTCGAAGTTGATTTCAGAGAAAGCCATTGGCACCATCGTGTTTCTCGCGAACTTCTACATAAGAATCCATAGTCAAATTGCAAATTCCTCACACATGCAACATCTCCACTGCATTTATATAATCACTAATCATGCGATCGTAACGTATGAAAAATCAAGGGTTTTGAGCTTTGCTAAATGTGCTCTACGAAGAACAGCCTCCAAATATGAGATAATCACGCGGTTTTCTGTGATGTTATAGGCAATAAAATATGGCAACACAGGTTTTCCTTTTTTTTTGGGGGGGGGGGGAGGCTTTAATCCATTAATTTTTTGGAGAACAGTTATGACCAGCTGCGTACATTTTCCACCAAGGAATCTACTTCTGGTTTAAGATGAGTCGCCCTTTTTATGCCATTTTAACCCTAGTCTGCCTGAGCCTCTGAACCAACGAGAAAGCCTGAGCGAGGTCAATTTGACCCCAGCTGAAAATCAATTACTTAGCTATGTTTTTTCAATGTTTTTAGTTAATATCAGTGCACTAACCTTACAGGCCTTAACCATAAGGCATATCTAAGTTTTAAAAAACACGGCGCAGGGTATGCAACCAGTCATTTACGGAATTCCTTACTCAGTCATTTACCGGTCTGCGCCTTTAACTGGCAACAATGTCGGCAGCCATTTTCGATTTGGAGGCTTAATTTCTTGTAGGAGTAAACATCTGATCTCCTATTCGAACTTCTTGACCCAAGAAACTTAATTTTGAACGTATTGTTTGTTATAGCTGCCCTAAATGGCAGTTTCATCCGCAAGACCGGCGGCCATTTTGGGCGCCATCTTTGATTTTAGGGCTTCTTGAGAGCCGCATTGGAAAATGGACCTCATTTTCGGACTCTACGACCCTGAAAACCTAGTAATTGATACCTCACAATGCATGTAGACCCGAGTAGGCAAATTAGTACCCGTAAGAGGTATTTTTGGACGCCATCTTGGATTTTGGCCTAAAAATGATCTTTGGGCTAACTTTTGACTGAAAATTCGGATTCTACGATCAAAAATACATAAGAAACGACACCCGACACGACGTATTTGCAAACTTTAAATTTTTTTACCCCAAAAACCGCCATTTTGGCCGCCATCTTGAATTTGGGGGGGTTTGTATGAAATTTGAGATGGCCATCATCGATTTTCTTTTTCTAGACATCAAAACGAAGAGATTGATGTATCACACAATATGCCTTCACGAATCTGCACACGGGACATATGTTTTGTTACGTATGCCCCCCGACTATGAACATTTTCCTGGAATTTTGTGCACAAACAGTGCCTCGTCGAAAATTGGCGCAATGATGACTTTTCATCGGCTTTTAAAGATGAGTCTAAACTAAAAAAAAAAATTAAAAATCAATCGTTGTACGCATCCTTATAAGTGGTGTGCAAGATCTATCGGTTGGAGCCAAAAACACTTTTTTTTTAATCGCTTGACTCCTTTAATAGAAAAGTTGCCTGTCGTAATGTAAACGGACCGGTGTTTTTTCTATTTCTGAAATTCTAACTAATTCCGTTGGCATGCTCCACCTCATAATTCGAATTTTACGGAAAAATCACGTTTTTTTAACAAAAAACCGTCCGGCACTGTTTGGTTTCAACTTTTTGAAACTGACATATTCCCATGATTTTGATATGCCAAGTTCATTTGTGACCATTGCAATGCTGCCAGTAATACAGACGTTGTAAAATGTGTCCACATCGCACATTTGTAAAATTTGTGATCCCGAAAATTGAGATTTTTAACCTTTTGATGCTTTTCAATAGGGACGAAACAGTCACGCTAGAGCCCTGATTTGAGATTATAGCCTCCTAACACACTCCTTTTGATATGAATTGAACATTTTGCCATGCAAGACGTGAAAGAATTTTTTAAAAATTCGGAAACTTGACCGAAAACGCCGCTCCGGCGCAAATGGGATAAATTTCATCGAGTTGACTGATTTTTTAAAGTTTGAAGAAATACTTCTATCGTCGTAAAAATTCAAGATAGTTGACTCCGTTCTGATATGAATTACTTATTTGAGCGCACAAGTAGCAAAAGTATTTTTTAAATTTCGGAAACTTGACGGAAAACGCTGTTTGGAAACAAAGATATATTTCACAGGAAATTGATTATTTTTTGTTAAATTTTGAGGAAATATTGCCAGCTTCGTATGGGCCGACGTAGTCTACGTCTAACAACGTAGTTTAAAAGAAATTAATAGTTCTGGTCCCAGAAACAGAAATTCGGTAAAAATCTGAACTCACTTAAAAACGTAATATTGGTCTTAAATATCCTCCAAATAATTTTTTATTCCATCTGCAAAGGCAGGGAACAAAGGTTGCTGCTCTCATTATTCGACATGACTGACAAAGATAGGAAAAAAACTCGTCCATAGAGTAAAGAAGAGAAAAAACCAGGAGAAGAATGATACAATTTCAGCAGGGAGAGTGCGATTTTGAATTTGCGTCTACTAGACTTTGCCGCACTCGGGCCCTCTGATTTGATTTTAGGGAGAGTCACCTTCGTATTTCATCATCATGCTACCTTTTGTCCCCTCTCTTAATTTATATCGGCTGTGCCAGGTGCATTGTCTGAGGTCCCGAAAAAACGCAGACGGCAGTTCAGTTGTAAGCGTTATATTGCCTCAAATCCATCGGTGGTGATTTTAGTCAGGTGGTACACTTCAATAATTTCAGTGAGTGCATTTACGAGTGGAAAAGAGAAAATAGCGAACACGAAAATCCTTTTCACTATATTTGATATATTCAATGAAGTGTACCTCCACATGGTGATCAAAAACCAGAGGAAATTCATGTGTTGTTAAGGAATATCACCTTAAGCGAATCCATGTGAAACGCACACTGCAATAAAATAACAAGATCTAAAACATCTGTCTCTGCAGGGACCAAAATTATCATTTTTTGTTAAAACTTTTCCGCGTCCTGTACACTAAAATGGGTAATATAAATCAAAAGAAGAGTATTAGAGGTCAATTATCTTAAATTTTACAACAATAGAAATATTCCTTCGAACTTTAAAAAATCAATCAACCCGCTGAAATGCATCCCATTTGCGCCTAAGCAGCGTTTTGGGTCGAGTTTCCGAATTTTTAAAAAATACTTGCGCATCGTGCACGGCAAAATTTTCAATTGATATCAAAAGGAGTGTGTTAGGAGGCTAAAAATCTCCAATTAATGGAGCTCTAGCGTGACTGCTTCGTCCTGAAGAGAAATCATCTAATCGTCAAAACTCTCAATTATCAGGATAACAAATTTTACAAATGTACGATGTGAAAGCACTTAAACTTTACATAAAAATCTGAAATTTGCCAAAAAGTGTTTTCTGACCAATTGGAACACTTTTTTAACGGAAAAATGTAACTTCACGAGGGTGGACTTTTTTATGGGAAGACATCCTACTGCACATGCAACGTTCAGATACTCTGCGGCCAGAATTTCCCGGAATGCAGTCGGCCTCACACCCGGTGCGGTGTTAGCCAGCATTCAATCCATACCAAGACATGCAGGCAGCAGTCTCAGGTCCAAAGGTCAAACGCATGATACTCGTATTTTAATGGTTTCGCAAAAGCTTGGTGCGTTGCCATAACACAAAAGGCTAAGGAAATTCCATGGCAATTTCACATTTTTTTTTAGCAGAATAAATTGCATTATTTGGTCGTTTTCAGCCGTTTTGCAGTTTTGAAAAACAGTTACGGTTCATTGAATGATGAAAGTACAATTCTACGTGTTTTAATGCTTTAAAGTCGTGCGAAACTCACTTTCAGACCATAGGATGTGTTGGTTTGTTAAAGAAATGATAAAATTTCGTATTTTCTCGAAGTTTCGCAAAAATATCGAATTTACGACAATTTACGTATTTCTGGCAGCATTGCAATGGTCAGAAATGAACTTGGCATATCAAAATCATGGGAAAACGTCATTTTCAAGGTGTAAAGCTGAAACCAAACAGCGCTACCCCGTTTTTTGGGTGAAAAAACGTGATTTTCTCTAAAGATTCGAAACTATGAGGACCGTGCCGACAAAAGGAGTTAGAATTTCGGAAAATGAAAAATCACGGGTCCATTTATATTATGAGGGGCATCTTTTCTGATATAGCCGTCAAGCGATTTGAAAAAAAGTGTTTTTCCCTCCACCCTAGGAATCCTTCATCATGATGCTTCACTTCGCACCTTGTCTGGTCATACATTGGGGTGAAAACTTACCTGGAACTGGACCATAGAGCATCCATTTGAGAATCATTAGGAACGCCAAGTAAAGGAAGAGAAACGATAGAAAAATCACTTGAGGAATGAATTCACAGTAGATAGATATTTGTTTCTTGAAGTATCTGAAAAAAAAGTTTCATAATCATTGAGATTTACCATAATGCATCAAACATGACATTTCAAAAACAATCATACTGAGGCCCTCAAAAGGAGGTGCCTATTATCACTATTTTTAGCCGCATAAATGAAAATTTAAATTTTTTTTTTTTTTTGGGGGGGGGGGAGGCAAAAGATCCTTATGATGAATATTATCCTACATTTTGGTGAAACTGGTCGCATAACATGTCTGTTAAATTAAAATTTAGGCAGAAATTTCTCAAGTTCCAAGTGAGCTACAGACCTGAAATGTTTTAAAACGACTGAAGTCGTTTCTCATATTGCTACTCAGGAAGTACTTTAAACACTCACTTAAAAAGAATAATTTTTAATCTTTTTTACTTCTTTATGGTAGAGGAAAATCAAAGCAATACAAAAAAATTGGCCTTGGGCAAATTTATGCGCGGCGCAAGCGCCGCTTACCGGCATATGGGGGGGCTTCCCATCATGGTGTCAGGATTGCACAAGACGTTCTCGCTTTTGCTGGCGCTCCGGGCCGGCGTAGACACTTTTACTGGATTACTTAGAGAAATACTGCCAATTTCACAAAATTATAAAGTTCCACTGGAATTTCGATCGAACTATAATAATTTTGAAATTTTTAATCAAACCACTAAACTCTATCGTAAATCTCTTCACGGTATGTGATGAATTCATATATTAAGAATCGACTTGTTGATATAATGAGGCATCTTGAATTTAAAATTGATTAATGATGCCTTCTAATAAAGACGGTGATCCTTAAAAATCTTAGCTTTTCTACGATTCATTAGGATCTGTTGGATTTATTGACATCATAATTTAGATACGATTATGTATTATAATCTTTCCTTAAGCAAGGTAAAAAGCCATCAAAAACCTACTTCAATCGGTAGAATCACTATTTGATGTTTAAATAGTCTTAAAATAAAACGGGTTATGCCGGGGCAATCAATCCCAAATTTCAAGATTGGTGGTCGAATCTCCCTGCTAGAAATGGTTCACCACCCGCCCGCCGAGGGCGCCACCTCCTTAGCTGCTCATATCCCCGTGTTTTAAACAACAACAACAACATGAACAAAATGGAACAAGTTGTCTGTGATATGTTAACAAATTCGCTTTTGTAAAATCATTTATCATTAAATCAATCATGTTCATGCAGTATTATTATTATATTTGTGTTCAGTACCTCGTAAAAAGGAACCATGAATGATAGAATCTGCCGGGATTCTAAGTTCATTAACAAGAAACATATTAGTTTCCAATAAAGATCTGAGCGTCAGTTCTAGTGTTAGCTTCGATGATTCACAGTATGTAAGTACCTATTTTTCTTGGTGTATACCTACGGAGTAATTTTGGAGATAGTATATGATGCATTATATAATGCATTCAAAATCCTAGGTTTCACCGGACTCAAACCGTTTGCTGCTAATACCCAGGAGCGTTCCGATTCATTTATCAGAGAATTCCCAATTTTAGCGTACCCCAGAATCGTTTGACGTGCATAAGGAGACCATAGATATGGTGTTCTGTGCACATTTTGAATGAAATCTAACAGATAGATTCTGAGTTATCGCTGTACATAGATTTAGGGGATGCCGGACGGAAGGACACACATTTTCTAAAGTATGGTTATATTGACTCCTGGGACCTTGAAACGTCTAGAAATGATGAAATTTCAACCTTTTTTCCCCTTGGAGGATGACAATACTTTCTCTACCCCAGGGTAGAGGGAAAGTAAAAAGAATCCTCTTTGACCAATAATAGAGGAAGAGATTTTAATCAGTTTTCTTAAAAAAAAATCACATGGCTCCAGCTCAAATAGAACTCGAAATTTCTCTGTTAAGAGATCGAAAAAGTTGCTCAAACCAATTTTCCCAAAGCACCTGGTTTTGGAAAGAAAATCAGGCATTTGGCATGCCAACTCTGAACTCCAAAGTGCTATACATATAAAAGAATTCTAGTCAAGATAAATAAAATGGTGATTGTATAGAGCATGTACTCATGTATGGTCTCTTCTGCATGATCAGATAGTAAAACTAACGAGTAAGAAACATTTTCCACAGAATCTCAGCCGGAGTACTCCTTGATGAGTCTGTTTTGATCGTTTGTTAATTTGATTGGAAGGGTTGTTTCTTGTGGGCAATGGTACATAAATTACGATTACTAAAATTAACTCCTATCTTCATAATTTGCATTTGAGATTTGTGCATTTTTGAACTCTCTGATTCAGAGAAAGGACTAGGGTAAAACTCTAATTCGGATGGGGGGGGGGGGGGGAGTTGGCCACTTTAACTTGATATTTTTTTTTTCACTTCAAATACCACTGGGAGGGTAATCCCACGCTTGCAGTTCCTTCAGTCCCATCCCCTCTCAGACCCTCATCAGACCAGCCCCAGGTAATTGTTGTTTGAGACCATCAAACTCAGGTCATTTGGCCAAGAATAGAACACGGAACCTTCCAATCATACAAATGCTGCAACCACTACACCACAGAAGGCCAACTTATGTAGAATTTAAACTGCCTATTACAGATTTTAGCTAATGTGGCTCAGAGCTAGGGGCAAGTTATCTAAAGTGAACTATAGTCTACGCCACTACAGAATTATTGAATCAGTATGAATTACAGTTACAATAGTGGGATCTAACTTAAAAATTTCATACTGATCAGCAAACTCAGTGATGCTGTGTAGTTTATCACTACCGACTCCGCGCTAAATTAATTATGACCCATTAACTTAAAAACCACAAGCACACAACTCGGACGCAATTTTTGGCTACCCTAATTTTTTACAGTTTTGAGTGACTTTTTCTCCCAGTTGCTGAAATAAAAAAAATTATGGCGAAAAAGTGAGCTCAGTTCACTTAATACTATTGAATGGCACAATGATATACCGAACAATTGCTCCTGCCTTGAGATGCCTGAACTCCTGAAGAATGATTTCATTCAAAAGTTAATGATTCCAGAAGCCTTAAACGGTCGTGGTAAAATACCTCCATAAAAATGGCCAAAGGTTTGATGTAATTAACCTCGGATACACAGCAAGAGCATCCCCCTATTAAAGATTTTTGAGCAGCTACTGCAGCAGTTTGGGTTTACTGCAGGATTCGTTAGGGACATTAGATTAAAATTGTACATAGGACTCAATCTATACTTTTTCCTATCTCCCAAATGAAACTACAATCAGCTTAGTGAATCGATTTGTTTTCTTAAATGAAGCCTTCATTTTAATTTTTTTTGGGGCTGCTTTGGTGCGAAATGATGGTAATCATTAACATCCAATCCTCAGAAAAATGCATCAGGTAAAGCTTCATTCCTCAAGACGACCACATGACTACTTACGCATGGTTCCAAAGACTCAAGCCAACGCCAAACAACATGTGTAAGACTCCGAAAATGATAGATATTTTCATTTTAAAGGCATTGGTGAAAACGATCTTGTTTTCAGCGAGCTGAAAAAAAATAAATTGTTCTCCATTGGAATAGCTGAATATTTATGACATTTATATCAACATAAAATTAAACATGAATATTTTTAAGAGTACGGCTTCTAGCACATGTGTAATTAATATAAAATACAGAGGATCTAATGGCAATCTTAGAGCAAACAAATTGGATGCTTACATCTAAGAAATCTACGGGATGTTCCTGCAGTCAGAATCCTGGGAATTTTTGAATGGATTAAGATAGGGGAATGAAACTTGCAATGTTTCTGTCTGCAACTAGCCTAACCTATTGGGGAGGGAAAGGAATTACAAAAATTTCTGCAGGGGGGGGGGGGGGTGTCTCAAATTTATTTTTTTTCTTCAAATATCTTCTTCTTAAGATATATCACTTTACAGAGGGTAAGAAACCAAAACTTTTAATACAAAATGTATGGAATTGTCTCACTTCATGATCTGATTATGGCAGATCAAAGTTAAAGTTGACCTATTTTAAAAGATAAATTAAAAATCCTTATTTTGATGCCTCTTACCAAAATTACCGAAAACAAAACAGGAATTAACTGAAGTATGAAATCTTCAGGATGATTGGGCTTCAGATCATATAAAAAAAATTAAGGCTCCACATTTTTCATTTAAAAAGTGCGTAATTCTTAAACTACTACAAAGTGAAATCTGTTGAGAAAACTATTTCAAAGGACCAATGAGGAACTTCAAGTTCTGCCCAGCAGGTCTATCATTGAGATTGAACAAGACAAGACTAAAGGGAATTAAAGCAAGTGACTCGTAGGCTATCTTGCTCGGTTGACTAAGCACCACCATGCGAGCTGCTTATCAGGCCGAATGATGGAAGCGCTAAGGGCAACAACCTGTCAATTTTTCGGACTGTTGCAGGTCTTATTCCACCAAGCGAGATAGCCCATGAATTGCATAGCTCCATTTCCCCCGAACCTTGTCTTATCCACCATTAATAAACAAAATATCAATAATTCGCCAGCAGGTTGTAATTTCTACACCTTTCAGAGAACGAACCGATCAAAAAACAACCTCTTGCTTGTGGCACTGCGGCAGTGAATTTGGGAAGAGGATATTCTAGGTTGTGCTCTAGGTACTCTGAGCTCAACAGTTACTTACTTACACTATACAAACTAGGATACTTACCACTTTTGTCTTCCTCGTGCAATCTTTTAAATGAGCTTGTTCAGTAATTTTTAATTATTGCATTACTGAAAAGTTGAGAGTGCTTTCCGTTCATAGGAATCATCCCAAATTTTTTAAACAATATTGAGCTACAGAATATGGGTTCAAAATTGTGTGATTTGATTGAGCTTCCATTTGAATATGCTCCGCCGAGAAAGGCAGAATGGCATCCATAAAAATGGGTCCGATTTCAGGTTGCTGCTTGCCCGCATGATCTCTCTTGGCTCAATCCATGCTCCATGCCGACCTGTGTTATAATAGGGTCTATATGGTGCATAGATCACACAAGAAAGATCACACAGGCAAAAAGTAACCCGCGACCAGACTGATCTCTATGGTTGCCGTCTTGCCTATCTTGGTGATGCACATTGAAAAGGACGTTCAAAGTGCATTGGAAATGGGAGCTGATCTTCTGTGGCTTAATATCATTCGAAAAAATTTCTGTGAAATAAGTGCACTTTCTACTTTGGTTCATTTTCCTTTGGTTTGAAAACATGTCGAACCAAGACATAAATCATATTTTGAAGAATGTAACCCCCTCCCTCTCCCATCCTTAAGGCCATCTCCTACAATGACGCAAAAGCTAAAACAACATATAAAATTGTAAAAAAAAAACAATGGAGATGAGTTTTTAAGGGATCATATTGGCAGCAAATAATATTGAAATGAAACGGTTATCAAACTATCTACCACAGCACAGGGACCGGGACTGTACAATCGAAAGTGTACTGTTGCGGGTGGGATATTCTTGGCCCCTTGATTATTATTCTCAGTGACACATGTTTAATTTAGGACAATAAAGATCATTAACACTCTCCGTTGAAATTGCTTCCTAGTCCGGAATAGACAATTCTTCAAATTTAATTACTGAGCTGTAACCTTTGTTAAGACAGTAAAACATGAACAAACCTGCCACACTGGATCTAGTCCAAATCCGTACGGAGTTCCATCGTAATTATAGTAAGGGTGAAGTTGAATATTTTTATTGTTGAGGTACGTAGACTCATTGAAATGAACTTTCCAGCTTGAACCAAAAAGATTCAATGATTTTGAGAAGAAATCATTGTAGATAAAACCAGTGTAAACAGAAAAAATGCCCATCAACAAAATTATATACCTCCCAGCAAAGAAAATATTCCAGATCTGAAAATTAAAATGAAAAACACAATTGATTCCAGTCTATAGTGCAGCTTCTCACAAATAAAACAATTAACTCACGATGAGCCTTATATTCTTTAAACTTGTTCAATATTGAGGGCAAAACTATTCTTCAAAAAGAACAGGTTCAAGGATATTACAACAGTTTTAAATGACTATTTTTACTTTCTACAACGAAAATAAACTTTAACTCATAACTTCCCCCTACTTAAATAACTTTTCCCAAGCGATCGGTTTTGGGTCACCATTTCAGATCAAGAAATCACTGATGAAAAGGCGACCCGAAACCGGTCTGGGAAAGTTATTGATATCAGTGAAAATTATGAGTTCAAATTGAGTTTATTCTGTTCTGTAGTTTATCCTCACCTATTAGATTGACATAGCTGTCAGCGGGGAAATAGAGTACATTAAATTCAGGAATCCATCAGGCAGCTTAGCACACTTTGTAAACATAAATAGACATGGAAATGCGGTTACTTTGAGGCTCAGGTCAGGGTCAAAGGCTGGCTCGTTTTTTTCCGTTTTCAAAATTTTCCCTGGCCACCTTCAAGATGCATTTTCCTAGCCTTTACATGCAAAACTAATGTATGCTAATGGGCTGAAATACAGTAAATTTTGGGCTTTCATTTAATTCACTTGAAAAAGGCATAGTTTACGTTCATGGTTCAAGAGCATCTGAGTGTACAGAAACTGTGTCTACTCTTTACTAGATCATACTGGAGGTCTTTAAGATACCATCAAAACATTTAAGAAACTATTCCAAGGGTCGAGAGTCTTCTGTGTCCTATTGTTTTTAGAGTAAGGGTCCAAAAATCATCCCCCTCTCTTTTAGGAGAGAGGTAGCACAAAATTGTCTTTCATCCGTTTAAGTTCCTCTCAGGATGAATTGTCAAGAAGTACGAAACTCTTGTCTTTAAAGTTGAAGGAACTCTTAATTATCCTGAAGGTAGAAAATTTGGGATCGTGAACCAGGGGAAGTAAATGTTCAGGAAAATTATAGTTTGGGTTTGAATTGAGAGCAATTAATATTTACAACCTTGTAAAATTCCTGCAAAGTTAGCAAAATTGGTAAATCTTGAAATACAAAAAAATTTTGATAAGACAGGTTACTGATAAGTTAAAAATTCAGATGAGTCAAGATTTTTCTTCTATGAAGTGCTCTATAGTGCTTACTATCAGTCATTCTTCTCAGTCTATTTACGTCTTCTCTAGGTCACTCAGTTTTCACTCCAACCCTCCTCATTCGAAAAATCGATTGTATTTACTGAAAAGAAGCTCTCATTGCCCACGGTTCATTTCAAAAAAATTTAGTTTTTCTGAAGGTCACCCGCGATTTTTTTTTTATAAATGTGTCAAGGAAGGTCTCCCGAAAGAGGGATTGAAATGAGGCCGTTTTTTTTTTTTATTTTCGACTTTTTCTATTTTTAAGGGTAAAATGGCGGCAGAAGCCAAAGTGTGACTACCAAAACCCACCGCCATCTGGTCAAATTAGGTTAAAATTTTATGTATGTTAGTCCTTGACATGTCAATTGGTGTCCTCAAAAGTTTAAAACCCTCCCTTAAAGAAATGCGCCCCCTTATGCGATGTTGCCAAGTTACATACCCGAAAATGACGCGGCTGATGGGGCAATACAGATTTTGAGTTGCAATTATCACCAAAAATTATGGAAACACTTACCATTATACACTGTGTGGTTAGTTTTAAAACTAATTCGATGAAAGCATGTGCGGTTGCCGTATCATCGTTTTTTTGAAATTGCAGAATTTTGCCAGAAAATGTCAATTTTTTTTCTTTGATTAAAACCAGTGTATGCTTATTTTTCAGCGACATTATCGAAATACGGAGCTTTAATTTCTTTCATAGGAAATTCAAAATTCATCAATAAAAAAAAGCATTTCATCCTGATGCAGGTTTGCCAAAATCTGTTAAGCAGCAACAAAAATGCCCTCCGTACAAAAGATGAATCTTGGGCAGTCTAGGTTTGGTATTGGTGTACTCTTTTTATTAGCTGAGTAAGATAGGCGTCCTCTTTTCTATTCTTTCAAAATTTGAGGGAGAAATTGTTCAAATTTTACTTTTTGATGCTGTAGAAAATTCCGAGAACCTCAAAAAATCGCTCGCACGGTTATTACACGGGAATAAGCAAGCAAATCTATCTCGTTCATGAACCTCTAAAGTTCATTTCCCACACTACGATATTTTTCTTGTTACATACTTTTAACTTTTGGTAATCTTGAACAATTAGATAAGACCTTACTTTCATCATTTGTGAACCTTGAAGTTTTTTCTCTTTAGTTGGAATTAAAGAGACCGGGGCTTCAATTCTTTGCGAACATCAGTAAAATCTCCAAACGGTTCATGTTTATTACTTACTTGTTAATTAAAAACAATTTTTCCTCAGTTTTCTCTGAATATTAAGGGGTAGGGGGAGTCCAAATTTTACTCTTTGAGTCAGGAACAATAACGTCCAGCATTTTTTCAAACCAAATCCGCTCCTCGATTTGTGTGTACTCATTTCCATAAATCAGCTGCAAGCCCTGATCGAAGTTCAATGACTTTATACAGGGTGCGGCAAAAGTCCCGGGACGGCTGTTTATTTTTTAAACGGTTACACGTAGAAAAACGAATTTTGGGGGATGTTCTTGGGTCAAAGTAAGCTACTTTTTGGCACTCCCCGAAATTTGATTGGGGGCCCCCCTAGGGGAGGGCGGGGGCAACTTTTTTTTTCAAACAGCAACCCCACACTTGTGACCCATCGTTGAAAAGAGGATAAAAAAATGGAGGATTCTAAAATGGCGGCCATAAATAACATGAAATTATGGGTACTTTCGTAACCTCTCCATTCATTACCGTGGAATTAAGGAGAAAACAGAAGTTTGTTGTAACCGACAAATTTTGGTGGAATTCGATACTGGGAGTATTTCCGGACCAAAAACAAGGGAGTACCGGTTTTCTAAAATCTTTAAAACCCTTTTTTTGTTATTTTTTTTAAAAAAAATCTTTAAGATCCTAATGATAAACTTCTTCATCCAAAATAGTTTGTTTTGCGAGAAAATGTGATGATTCTTGCACAGAAAAAATCCGGGAGATATCAGAATTTGACGAACAGTAGAACCATCAATCCTAAAAAGTTTAGCTGCTTTCCCATGGGGAGGGGGGGGCTGTTCTGTTGACGATGAGTTGGCCATTGTACATTATGTTCCCTATTTTCCAAGCAGTGCAAGCCGCTGCTGGAAGGGTTCTGTGGGTGTAATAAGACTTTCCAAAACATCTACCTGATTTTGGAAACAAATTGATAACGTATTGTCAATTAGTAGATCGGTGTTTTCGCCTCAGTCCTACACGTTTTCTTCCCTACCGAAGGTTAAGTAAGCGAAATTTCACTCGGTATTTCCCCCCCCCCCCCCCCGATTTCGTGGTGCGGTTTTTTCTTAGAAGTTTTCTCGTCAAAATTTTTGCTCTTTGTTATGGCAGAAAATAAATTAAGTTAAAAGGAGAGCAAGGTGCAATCAAGTCATCGGTTACAACGAACTTCCGTTTTCTCCTTAATTCCACGGTAATCAATGGGTAGGTTACGAAAGTACCCATAATTTCATGACATTTTTGGCCGCCATTTTAGAATAGTGTGAGAATTTTTCAAAACTAATACCGAATTCGTTTTTCTGGTCCCAATGAACGCCCGGATACCAAGTTTTATGCAATTCCATCGATAAATAGCCGAGCTAACAATTTTTCCGCCACTTTGTAGGCTGCCATATTGGGAAGGAATGGTTATTTGGAAAAACTGAAGAGAGATTCGTTTTTTTCGTCCCAAAAAAACCCCCGGATACCAACTTGTATGCGATTCCATCGATAAATAGCCGAGATACCCATTTTTCAGCCATTTTCGGCCGCCATTTTGTGAAAAATCAAGATGGCAACCTGGGACTTGCGCCAAAATTTTTCTTTTTTTATCCTCTTTTCAACGATGGGTCACAAGTGTGGGGTTGCTGTTTGAAAAAAAAAAGTTGCCCCCGCCCTCCCCTAGGGGGGCCCCCAAACAAATTTCGGGGAGTGCCAAAAAGTAGCTTACTTTGACCCAAGAACATCCCCCAAAATTCGTTTTTCTACGTGTAACCGTTTAAAAAATAAACAGCCGTCCCGGGACTTTTGCCGCACCCTGTATAATGCTCTATTATACAGGGTGGCCCAGACCTACCGTACCAGGCCTTTTTTTCGGTTAATTTGGGTCGCCCGAAGTCCAGGATCGCGGGGATGAATGGAATTGACCCCAAGGATTCCGAATTTCATGGTCCCAGGGCCTCCCTGGCGTCCCTTGGGGGGTAAAAGGGGGGTTCGTACTTCAAAAGTCAGGGTTAATGTCAAAATTTTGAAATTATTTCATCGGAATCAGAACGCACGGAAATTTTTAATTTGAATCGACACCAAGAAATCCAAAATCGGCCCATCCAGGTCCAAAATACCGACCCCTAAAGGTGGGGGACAGAGCCCCCTTTCAAAAAAAATCAAGTTCGTTAAATTGACGTGGAGACTCGGAAAAAATGGGTATTCATGGGTAATCGACCCCAAGGAATCCAAATTTGAGGGTCCCATTGTCCTCAGACACTTTTCTGATGGGGCACAGGGGGTCTTTGAACTTTTTAATTTAACCGGTGTGGAGGTTACTCCTGTGCCCCATCAGAAAAGTGTCTGAGGACAATGGGACCCTCAAATTTGGATTCCTTGGGGTCGATTACCCATGAATACCCATTTTTTCCGAGTCTCCACGTCAATTTAACGAACTTGATTTTTTTTGAAAGGGGGCTCTGTCCCCCACCTTCAGGGGTCGGTATTTTGGACCTGGATGGACCGATTTTGGATTTCTTGGTGTCGATTCAAGTTAAAAATTTCCGTGCGTTCTGATTCCGATGAAATAATTTCAAAATTTTGACATTAACCCTGACTTTTGAAGTACGGACCCCCCTTTTACCCCCAAGGGACGCCAGGGGGGCTCTGGGACCATGAAATTCGGATTCCTTGGGGTCGATTCCCTATTCATCCCCGCGATCCTGGACTTGGTGCGACCCAAATTAACCGAAAAAAAGGCCTGGTACGGTAGGTCTGGGCCACCCAGTAGGTAAAAATTATTCAATTACTAGTGTATCAGTTGATAATGTCGCTAAAAAATAAGCAAAGACTGGTTTTAATAAAAGATAAAAAATTGACATTTTCTGGCAAAATTTAGCAATTTCAAAAAAACGATGATACGACAACCGCACATAATTTCATCGAAGTAAATTTAAAATTATCCACACAGTGTATAATGTCATATTTTGCGGTTTTCAATTTCTCAATCTGAAGACCTTCCTTGACACTTTTATATAAAAAAAAACCTTCAGAAAAATTAAATTTTCTTAAAACGAGCCGTGTCCTTACTTCCAGTTAGCTTCCTTTGACGAGAGCCAATTCTGCAAAATGGGCCTGATGCAAACGTTTGCTAGAGCAGAAACTAGAGTGGTTTCTATCAGTAAATGTCTCAAAAATCACTATGAGCGCATTGGCAAAGTTTGGAATGCACTCCTAACTTCACAATCTGCATACAAAAGCGTTTTTTTGAGCTTCCCCTTTCAAAAATGATAATATAACACGGGTGGAAATTTCGTTGGAAGAGTCGTCCCACTCAACCTTTTCACGATAGCAATACCAAACATAGTCGACGCTTCCCTTTGCAAATCACAATCAGGAGCACAAGATCAACCAAAGTGGTTTTTATGAACGTGAAGAAATCGTGAATGTAAATATTCTGGGTAGGGTGTCCCATTTTGGACGGTGAAAACTTTTTTCGCAAAAGGCTTTTCTAAAGAAAATAATATTACCAAAATTATATTTAACAAGACAAATCTCACACATGCCGTGAGTCATCCACCCTTGTGCTTCCACCATGCGTTTTGAGAAAAAAATTAGGAAGCAGCATTCTAAGCAACCCACGTCCAAAAGGACGTAGGTGAGGGGAAGGAGGGAAGTCAGGGTGGGTAAAAAATCAGCGCTGAGAGCCCGCGATTTTGAAAAGTGGCATTGTTTTTTTTGGTCCTCAGATCACGATCAATGTTTGAAAGTCGCATCCTCATGCACAAACATCATGCCTAGAATTTGTAAGAAATGGGTCGTCTCTAGGCAAATGATCTCAATGCATATTGGCACAAGGTTAGATCCCCTTGCATCTCTGAATACAGCAATTTAAGTCTTAACATATTTATTCCATGTGAATTATCTGAAAAAATGGCTCAAATCAAGGATATGCAGATTTTTATCTACTTTTACCAATGATATGTGGCAACGTCGCGCCGCGATGGGAGCCTCTACACATACATACATACAGGGTTATACAAAAGTTACGCACCACTGGCCATAACTTCAGTTCTAATTATGATATCGACTTGCGGTTTGTGGCGCCCTTCCTCATATCGAGGGGAGAACTTTAACATTTCACAGAAAACATATTCTCTTGGAAATATCCCTGATGGAATCAAATCTGTAGGTACTACATAGTATAAAATGCTGATGATGAATAGTATACAAACCTCATTCGTGGATTTCTTAGCGAGATATGGTTTCTCACGAAGCACCATCCAAGCAGCAAACAAGAACATGATTAAACCATGGCCAATGTCGCCGAACATGACAGCAAACAGGAAGGGGAATGTTATGATAGTGTATGGAGCTGCGGAAAAAATAATATTTACAAAAAAAAATTGTAATCGGTGGAAAGGCATATAAATTTAATAGTAATTAAACTTATATGACCTAAACTAAAGACAATTATGTACACAATGTCAACACACAGTAATAACACGTGTACAATTTACCGAAAATTCATCTCATATCTGTATAATTTGAAAAATGAAGAAAGATCAATAGCAGTGCACCTAAAAGCTAGAGGTGGCCAAAATTCTTGGATCTTAAGAATCCCTAACTTTTCTTCAACCCTCCTTAGGAAATTTCCTAACTTATTGAGGTGAAAAAATTGCCATGCATACTTGTTTGGAGGCTACTGCAACAGAAAGCAAAGTTTAAAAATTCAAAACTCACACCATCCAAGAACATAAAAAGGGTTGTTGCAAGAATTTTTCAATTCAGTATCTGAAACTGGAGGTAGGTAGAAAATTGATACAAATATTTCTTTAAATTTTTTGATGATGGGAAAATAGAGAAAGAAATCTGAAAGTTTGGAAGCAATTTGAAACACGGATCTTTTCTGCACATCAAAATCATGTGACTTTGACGGAACACAAAACTTGGATAGTAACTTTGTTTGGTTGTTGGCCGGTGGTGGGCTTTAAAAGAGAACTAGAAAGTCATTCTCACCTTGAAACACATTTATTCATCTAAAAAGACACAGAACCATCAAATATAAAATATCACACATCACAAAAGAGGAGACTTAATAAAACATTAACGCCGTCGTGATGGGGGGCTAGCAATTGAGGGTTGTTGTCATCAGTGGCCGGTGAGCTACCAGCAACCTCGACATAGCGATTAAGATTCACAAGGGGAACTTCCCAAGCTGCCGCCTCCGATCAGGCTGAAAAAATTCGTACAAACTCTTTGGATGAATTTATTTGACCCGTATTTTTTTGTTTTTTCCAATGCCCCCCAGAAACACCCCAAAAGAATTCCGGAAAGTTTTGCTTTGAACGCTTGAGTCTATATACGCAGTATAGCAATACCCACTTACCGTCAAGTGGTGGCTCTGCGGTAGCGCGCTCGCCCAGTGATCCGGCGGGCCCGGGTTCGATTCCCGGGCGCCGCGCCAAATTTTTACGACCGAATTTTATATTCTCATACATTTTCACATCGATTCCCATTTGATACATTAGAACTTAAAACATCAATTAATTTACAACCATCAACGATCAATAACTTCTTCAATTTGAAGTGTAGATTTTTTTGTGGGAGGGGGGAGGGGTCACGCGCGCGATATTCTCGCCAATCACTGTACTTTCACATTAGCAGACGACCCGCTCCGCCCCCTCACATCGACATATTTCTCCCGATCACCCGTATGAGTCATGATTTTTCCCATCATTATCCAGAAAATGATAATGAAAAATTACTTTGAACATTCAAATTAAAAATGCTACAATTTTTCATTATCATTTTCTGGATAATGATGGGAAAAATCATGACTCATACGGGTGATCGGGAGAAATATGTTGATGTGAGGGGGCGGAGCGGGTCGTCTGCTAATGTAAAAGTACAGTGATTGGCGAGAATATCGTGCGCGTGACCCCTCCCCCCTCCCACAAAAAAATCTACACTTCAAATTGAAGAAGTTATTGATCGTTGATGGTTGTAAATTAATTGATGTTTTAAGTTCTAATGTATCAAATGGGAATCGATGTGAAAATGTGTGAGAATATAAAATTCGGTCGTAAAAATTTGGCGCGGCGCCCGGGAATCGAACCCGGGCCCGCCGGATCACTGGGCGAGCGCGCTACCGCAGAGCCACCACTTGACGGTAAGTGGGTATTGCTATACTGCGTATATAGACTCAAGCGCTCAAAGCAAAACTTTCCGGAATTCTTTTGGGGTGTTTCTGGGGGGCATTGGAAAAAACAAAAAAATACGGGTCAAATAAATTCATCCATTTTTCAGCCCGATCGGAGGCGGCAGCTTGGGAAGTTCCCCTTGTCAGTATGTTTGCATTTTTACATGGTATATCTGGCATTTAGTTATTGTAATTTCTTCAATTGATATTTCTGCTCCCGTGTTTGGTTATAAAGCCAATTTTATCTTCATAAATTTTGTGTCCACAATGATTGTCACATGCAGCCAATGGAAGTCATCAAGTGAATAACAAGAACTCCCTAATGAACTTCTTGTAATTATATCAAACTACAAAAAATCGGGTGACAAGTGATCAACCACTTATCTCACATCATAGATTGCTGTTGGGTATCAATTTTTGAACAGCACTACAGCAAAATCTAATTTCTACAGTTTAGCGCTTTTAAGGCAAAGAACTTGACAACAGGCAGGCATGCAAAAAGAATACGGACAACAAAATGCTTTAAACAGAGGCATAAAACTTTCATTACCTGGATTCACTTCTCGATAAGAAGCAACACCATAGGCATCTATCAGATTTTGAAATGCACCGGTAAACTTATTGGTTCTATTATAGGTCGGTGGGTCTTCCGTTGAGTCCATACGGTTCAAAATTGTTGGAACTGAGCTTCCGCTCCTTTCCTGCAGTAACAAAAATGTGAAATCAGAATTTACAGTTACGAGACTCTGAGTTTGCTGTCAAAAATCTTCTTCGACAGCAAATAATTGTTGGATTTTAAGAACATAATTGAACAAAAATACGAATGTTCCAGCTGAAAGTGAGAAAGCTTATTTACATTTCATTTGGGATGCATATATGTTCAAAGAACTCAATCTACATACTACACTAAAAACTTGTACTACAAGTTAACCAGGCCAATGTACTAAAACTTACTACATGGTAAAATTCTTCACCACTCCAAATAAAAGAAGATCTGACGAAAATCAGCTCTTTCAAAATTGATGTCTCATTGTTTCTGGTATACCTTTTGAATCTTCTCAAGTCAAAGCCTATCAGCGCTCTACTGACTTTAAAATGAAAGTCACCTATTAAGGGCTTGACCTATACAAAAACATGTGATTGTGGTGCCACCCTAGGGTGAAGTGAAAAACAATTTTTTCAAATCGCTTGACTGCTATATCAGAAAAGATGCCTCTAATAATATAAATGGACCTGTGATTTTTCATTTACCGAGATTCTAACTCCTTTTGTCGGCACGGACCACGGAGTTTCGAGGATTTACTTACAAGGGGAGGCTAACGATTGTCCCTCTCAGATCGGGTTCAAATTTGGCAGAATAGGTTAATATAAGAACCCGTATTTTTTTTTAGGTGCCAATGCCCAGCCGTTTTTGAGTTATGAATTTTTGAAGTTGCCGATTTTTCGTGTCAGCGACGCCCTCAAGTTGAGCCTACTGTGCGCGCACCCTTTAATGCAATCCGAATGTCTTGCTGCTCTAGAGAGACAGTTGTCCAAGCGGTAGCGCGCTCGCCTATGGTGCTGCAGGTTTGGAGTTCGATACTTGTTCCGTATGTTCAATTTTTAAAATTGATTATTTTGTTTTTTAATCGCTTCATCACAAGAAATTGTAAGTCACCTTGTGGACGTTATGATTCTAATTATTTTTTATGTATATTTTATTTGTTTTATTTTTTTTAATGAGTGTTTGACAAAAAAGGAAAAAAATATAATTAGCATCACAACGTCTACAAGGTGACTTACAATTTCTTGTGATGAAGCGATTAAAAAACAAAATAATCAATTTTAAAAATCGAACACACGGAACAAGTATCGAACTCCGAACCTGCAGCACTATAGGCGAGCGCGCTACCGCTTGGACAACTGTATTTCTTGAGCTGTAGGACATTCGGATTGCATTAAAAGGTGCGCGCACAGTAGGCTCAACTTGAGCGCGTCGCTGACACGGAAAATCGGCAACTTCAAAACTTCATAACTCAAAAATGGCTGGGCATTGGCACCTAAAAAAAATACGGGTTCTTATATTAACCTACTCTACCTCCCTGCCAAATTTGAACCCGATCTGAGGGGGACAATCGGTAGCCTCCCCTTGTTAGATTACAAAAAAGCCGAAAATTGCCGAAATAATTAATGGATTGAGATAAAACATGAAGAATTTTCGTAAAAATCTTAGATCAAAGGCTCAATTTCTAGCGAATAATGACGGTTCGAAGATTAAATTGTTAAAGGCCAATGAAATTGTTAACATGTTTCTAATTCATGCATTTTCAGAAACTACATTGTCTCCTGTTCACGCAGTAATTTTTTCAGATTTTTCCGAGCCGTTTTTCCCTCCGAAAACGACTTCTGAAGTTCGAAATTTTAAAATGCCGCGTTTGCCCGCGCTTTAACGGCAATCCAACATGGCGCCGGAATTACCCCCTGGCTTCTTCCCACACATTCGACCGGGCGCCGTCAACGGGACCTCTACGCGTTCGAATATCGAGGCTAATCAGAACAACCAACTGGCTGTTATCAATTTCACCTTTTGACAAAGATTTCTCTAGTTTATGGCATATTTTCTGAACTGTTATTCGTTCAACTAAAATATCTGACCCTGCTTTACATATATCTCGACCTGCAATGTCCTTGGAACGTTGGGAAATCCGAAAATATTGACCAAATTTGTGCCAGTTTACTTTGTCATTTCAGTACACTGGACTTGGACCTGTGTGGAGAGGAGGTGGATTCAGAAAAACCCACTTTTCTAGAGTTCTATCAAGCCAGATTTAAAAATCTATAGGGCGTTTGAGTGCCCAGAGTGGTGGCTTTTTTAAAGTTTATTACAGATTTTCTCTACCTATCTCAGTTTAGGAGATATTGAACAGGTAAACTCATCTCGGGACGATCCTTGTGGTTGTTCTTCCCTCTTTCTTGCAAATTATTTATTGAAATGAAATACATAAGGCTCTTTACCAGTAAAATATCACTATGAAAAAGCATTTGAGCTTAAAGACTGAGACAAAAATAAGATAATGGTGACAGTAAAATGAGGTGAGAAAATCTACCAACTGAAAGCATCCACTTCAAAATATTGCTATCACATGAATTTGTTGGCTGGAGTCTAGTGCATCCACCTGCATAATTGATTTTAAGGGTTTCCATGGGTGTACTGCAGGAAAATCTAGACAAATTTTCTTGGACGTATATTTTGATCAGTACCCAGACATTTCTGCTGTGAAATGGAGACCTCAGGTTTCCATGTCAATCCAGTGATAAGAGAATACCTTGGTGTGCCTTTGAATTAACACTTAATACATTTTTTGTGATTTTCATTTACTGGATATTACATTCATTGCACACCACAAACATTTTTTACGAGAAAACCACGTATGTTCCAAAGAATTCAATACAAGTCATGTGCATGTTGGAGCAAATTTACTTCCGTTCTAGTTTGAACATTATTGGTATGTACTTTTCAATTTCAGGATTAAACGGCTTTTGCCAAAGGGTCTGTCGGTGCCGGCACACACAGTTCCAGGGTAGAGTGTAGATCCATGTCGAAGAAAATTCCTTTGAACTGATTTTTTTAGTGAACAAATGCTCAGATAACTGAAGCATAATTTACTACACTATCAGACTTCAAAGGAGTTGGTCATGAGGAAGTATTCACAACAGCACAGGAAAGATTATGTGAATATATTAGTCGAATCTCTAATGTACAAAAATCCAGTCCCATGTGCAACTTTCTGAAAAAAGTTGGAGAGTGGTATCAATCTCTTCGTTATGATGTCTAGAATCAAAATTTGGATGGTGGTAACCTTGAAAATCGTGCAGGAAGCGCCCAAAGCCCAAAGCGAAATGGCGGCCGCTCGGTAGCCCTTATTTTTGAAAATTCCGTATTATGGCATGTGAGGTATCGATTCCTATGTTTTTTGGGTCGTAAAATCCGCATATTATGTTTAAAATACCCTCCGATCAAAAAAAAAATGTCGCAAACCCAACATGGCGTCTGAAAATACCCACCCGGCGCGAAAATCGCTGAGTTCTCATTTGGCCGTCTAGTAAGGCGGCCAATGATTGTATTGTGAGGTCCCAGGTTTCAAAACAGAGTTACAACTCACTGTGCGGCCCAAAAAAACCCCCAAAATCCAATATAGCGGCCAAAATGGCCGCCGATCGAAACCTGTTTTTTTTGTATCGGCGTATGGCGTCGAGTGGGGTATCGTTTCTGATGTATTTTGGGTCGCACATTACGAATATGAAGTCAAAAATTACTCTTGACCAATATTAAAGCTCGTAAATTCAACATGGCGGCTAAAATGGCTGGCATGGATAGAATAAAAGCAATTACATACAGCGGTAGTCCTGATTTAATACATTTCTGCCGTGATAGCGATGAGAGCCGTAAGTGTAAAATTTTCGAAATCGAGTTTTCTTCAAAATTCGTCTAAACTCTTTTAGATGAAATTACCGAGACAGCTAAAACAGCAAAATTCATCCTAATTTAATGAAAACGAGACGTATGAAAGCCGTAAGTGCACAAAAAATGACACAGTTTTTTCAAGACAGCCGTAGATGCATGAGAGCCAATGAAAACAGTGCTTTCCAGTTAAGTGCCGCCCTCTTCTGCCAATTTATAACCTGAAAATGTGTTTGTTGTGCGTCCAAAACGCAACCACGAAAGCATGCAGAAGATAGCACTTACGGCTGTCTTGCCTAACAATAACCTAGCATGAAAATGAAAAATACCCTTTTTATGTACCTAATGGAAATAAAATCAGTCGATTTATAATCATCCATACGATTTATAGGGGTCTTCCGGACGATTAGTGGCAATTTGACAAAGAACGGAGGCTTCTCTCAATAAAATGTTCTTGTCAGAAGCTTCTGAGCCCGTTTTCTCAAAACTCCATTTTTGCACTTACGGCTCTCTTCGCTATCACGGCAGATTTATGGGGCCTCTTATACGCCCAGCCTCTATAGCCTCGCCAAGTTTAGCCCCTTTTTTTGGATGCCCGAATTGGTCAACGGGACAAGGCTCAAATGAAAGCTTATGGTAAAGCAAACTTCCACTCAAAGTTTCAACTTGAAGTGACACCTTGTTTAAGCTGTACAGCGTTGCCAATTTTTCATTTTCATGTGCTACAATCAAGGAATTCTGGACTAATAGTCCAGTGCATCATAATTAAACAGACTAGTGCATCGGTCTACAAGCTGAATACTACCCTGAGATCGTATAGAAACGCAATTGAAGGGCGCATCGTGAACTTTTCGAAGCAGTGTTTCCAATTTTTTTTAACGTAAAATGAGGGTATTTTCAAGACTTTTGGCAGAAAACGTTCCATCATGAGCTCTTACTATAACGAGTATGGGCTGAACATTACCATACAATAGTAAATGATAGTTGCTTACGGCGAAAATTGAATTCCAGAAGCAATGTTGCCAAATGTATTTTAATTTCTTACAAAAATTAAAGATTTTCTCAAGTGAATGCTCAGAAAACGTAATTTCCAAGGCATTTCTCCCATTCTGATGACTGAATATCACCATGGCATAGTACATGATTACTGTTTAAGGCAATAATAGAATTTTTAGAGCAACGTTGCCAAATTGTGCACGTTTATTTTACGATGAGATGCCTATATTTTTGAGCTTTTCGCGCAAAAATCGCACTTTAAGG